AGTTCTTATGGCAGAAATCCACTTCTGAACCTCTGTATTTCCTAAGGTGGAGATGTAGTGATCAGAAAAGAGATATAAAGAGAAAAAAATGATAAAGAAGGCATGCAGTGGACCAGGGATAAGAAAATGAATAAGGGTGCCATTGTAAGGAAGAAGGAAAAAAGGGGGAAATGAATAGACTATCAACTAGGAGCAGCCTTGAAGAGACAGGAGCCTCTCCTTCGGGGAACAAACAGTCCTCCCTTCCTCAGATAATTTATATTAAAAGTAATTTAACAACAAAAAAAGAACAGTTTCTATCTGATAGTACTTAGAACAAGAACACATATTCCCTCTCTCCCACAATCCTTGAAAGATATATTTTAGCAAATATCAAAAATAAACTGACCCAGGATGGAAGATTCCAGAAATTGCTTACAAAAATAACACATGATGTATGGCAAAAGGCCTAATGCTCCCATGACCCAACTGACTACACTCTTCCCAACCCCCCTGGCCTCTCTGTGATCAGCAAGCACTCTTATAGCCTCAACTTCTCTGAATAGTTCTGGCACCTCTCATAGTTCTTAACTGTGGTGCAGTAGAATTAGCAGGCACTATTAGAAAATGCTGACACTTAGGTCCCAGCCCAGTCCAACAAAACAGAATCTCTGGGGGTAAAGTCCAGGCACTAGTAGTTTTTAAGCACTCCCCAGGTCATTCTAATGTGAATCCAGATTGAAAATTAGTCACCTGCGAACTGGCTGGTTCCTGACAGCAGCACTTCCCCACAGCCCTCTCAAGTGGAGCTGCTTCTGATCTCTCGCACACCCTGGGTAATTTAAGCCTGGTGTCCTTATCTGTCCTAATGCCAGACCATTCCTTCTCCTCCCTCGGAAAGCAGTCATTTCTCCTTTGAAGCTCATTCATTGGGTTGTGCCATTTTCTTCCCTTCCTTTTTCCATGAGATCATGTGCCATAATCCCAGAATCTTCTGAATCCAGGATTCACTACCCGACTCATAAGATTTTCTCTCCTTTCAAACTCCTGCGTTAATTTTGGGTCTCTTCAAATTAGCACAGAAAACCTAGTCAGCGCCTTTTTTTTTTTTTTTTTAAGATTTATTTATTTATTTTATACAAGAACCAGGGTACAGGCCAGATGCATGGGATGAGAGGATTCAACAGAGACAGAGTGGGGAGCAGAACAGGCAGATAACCGAAATACACTGTTAAGGGGAGCAGTGGGTGAGACAGGAGAGGTCTGCCGCGTCATGTGGGACCCTCGCTGGGTGGCCAGGATTGAACCGGTACTGCAGAGGCTGCGGACAACTTCACAGCTTCACAGCCCGGCGCTCATCGCCTGCGCCACCAGGGGAGGCCGGCCTTCTGTTTCTTTATCCAATGACATTTGCCCTCCATCTGAGCCACTTTCTCCCTCAGTCTGTACTGGGACAACTCAGTTATACTACCTGGACCTTTTCATCATAGAAGCAGTACCAACTCATACAGCATTAATTAAACATCCCGCCCTGACTTGTTAGTCCCTCCAGCTTACTTGCTCATGTGGGAACCCCCAAGCCCAGTGACCCATTCACTTTCTCAGTATCCATTCGCCCCCTCTTGCTTTCACTTTCCTTTTTATCATACACATGCCACCATTATACTTGTAAAAGCCCAGCACCGCTTTACCTCTCTGTTTCTCTGTGGCACCTACCCAGTTAACTTCCAGCCCTTGAAAACCAGCTACTTGCCTCTTCTGTATTGATACCTGTTTATACCACAGTGGTGATCTCTAACTTGCAGCAACATAATTTTAATTTGGTACTTTAAACATTTCTGTACTTTCAAAATTGTACATAATAAAGTTATGTTACCTCTATCATGGGAAAACACATATTTACACTAAAATCAGGCCTGCTTGACAAATCCAGGGTCTCCCTCCTGCAACATTCTGTGTGCTCTAAAGGTTACACATGAAGTCCAAGGATCGATATAAAATCTGGTTTCAGTGCAAATATTACAAAAGGAGCTAAGATAACAAAAGATTTTATTTAAGTGGTTACTTAACTATTTCTCCTCTACGGTTCAGTAACTTGAACTCTGGACAGAGCAACACATGGCTAGTTTCTGTGTAGAAGAGGCCAACAAAATGAATGCTATAAATTAGGTGTTTATAAGACAAAAGGCACAGCTCAGTTTAACTTTTTAAGCTTTAGATCAAATACCCATTTCCACCCCAAGAATGGGACAAATTTTAGTATCTTATTTCAATAGTAATGTCAGTCCCTACTGTACTTCCATTGCTCAGATTTGCTTTTCTAATACTGTTTCTGCCTTCTTTCTGAGCCCAATGAGACATAGACATTGCTTGTTCTCTGAGATACCTGTAAGCAGAAGCCCAAAGCTTTGTTTACTCAGCCTTTGAGGATGAGTTCATGAGGCTTCCAAAACCCATGACTTAAGAAAAGAATAATAAAACCCAAACCAGAAAAAGCCTACCTAAATTGTTCAATAAGAAGTAACAGGGCCAAGGACAGGCCCTGTGTCTAAACAAAATTATGTATAACCAAAAGCCCCAAGCAAAGGGCCAAATCCCACTTATCCAAGGACTCAACCAAGAGATTAGATTCATGTGGTCACATCCTCTTTTCCATAGCAACCACACAGCAGTCACAGTAGCAGTCAAATGCCCATTTTCTCCTCCTCATAACAAAGTGTAATTAGATGATAAACAAAGAACAGCTTGCACAGAAAGTCAATCATGATTTGCTTCAAACATTAAAACGAGAGAACAGAAACAGTGAAAAGTCCATGCTCTCCCTGATAAATGGATGCCTTGAGGGGGTAGGACTTAAAAAAAAGATCAAAATTATGTTAAGGAAAAGAGTTATGTCTGCTACAAGCAAAGTATCCCTGGTATAAGGGGGAGTCTGTAGCAACCCAAAATAATAACAAGTAAAGGAAAACATTATGATTTAAGATACAAAAATATAAAATGGGTAAGGGGGGAAAAGCTTAAAACCTAACAATAGTTAAAAACCAAAACCAAACCCAAAACCCACTCATGAACCTAATGTACTTTAAGCATTTCCTGACCCTTCCTACAATGATCAGTTCCACAACAATGGTTTAGCTGACAGTAATAATACTGGGAGTTCAGAGAAATTCAGGATTAGAAAAACATCCTATTTTCAACTTTCTAAAGATTTTCGCCAGCCGCTTGTTTTTTCTTATGCTTACCCTAAATGTGTTAAGGAGGCAATGCTAATTTGTATTCCCAATGAATGTTAATTCTTCATTAAGACAATGGAGAATATAGGAGATGATGATAAAAGATGGACCAAAAAACAGTGTCTTAAATATAGTAAAAGTTTGCTGAATGAAAATTCATTCCATTCAGAAAGATACTCACTGTTTGAGGCTATATCAATCAAAAGAGTTTCTTCAGCTTCTGAAGGAAAAGGATAAAGAACAGAATCAGGGAAGAGAATACCATTCATTATATCCAAATAATTCTATGCCTAACTAAACAACTGCTTCTCAATCACCACCCCTAGGCCTTAGAACACATTTTTAAAAATCCTTTGCTTTTTTTTAAAAAGGATTTTACTGGCACTAGATTCTAAAGATCATGAACAATTCCATTAAGAGAAAACAAACTAAACAAGTAACTGAATGGAATGTCTCAAAGCAACTCAAGGAATGACAAATTAATAGTAGGGAGTATAACATGTTAATTCAAGTGAAGGTAAGTTTAATTCCCCTTTAACTATAACATACTGAATAAATACAATACAACTGTATCATCTAGATATAAAAAGCCAAGGGTGACCCTCAAGAACCAGAAGTGAATTACTTTAACTCAGATCTAAGTCTCAAATAATTCCCAGTGTACATTACCTCTGCCCCTGCCCTGTACAGGAACAGAATATACCTGAAGTTTTTGCATTCAGTCTACAATTAGTATTGGTGGGTCTGAGGCCTACCATAGCTAAAGAATAAGTGTAATACAGGGCAAAGCACAGTGCCCAAGTTCAGAGTTCTCTTCTCTCAACAGCTCTCCAGGACTTCCTTACCACTAGTGTCTAGACCCAATCAATTTCTTCCTTTCCAATTTCCTTGGATTTGGTCAACAGGACCTGCCAGACCTTCGTGGTTAGTTGAATTCTGGGTAGTAACTGTGGGATTAGCCTGAATCTACCTTGGCTAGACAGAGAAATCTCACAAGCCTGGATTGTATATTTGACTCCATTATTCAGGTATGTAGAAACAACTGGTAAGGAATTAAGTTGCCTAAGATTAGGAAACAGTTTCAACACTATTACTAGCATGCAGAGGCAAAGGAAAATAGGCCATCAGGACCTGGGTGCTATATATTCACCATTTTTCTTCAGAAACTTTAATTATTTAAGATTGAACATTTTTAGATGTTTCAAAACAGATGCACAGGTCAGGAAACAGAAAGGATGTACAAACTCGAGGAGGCAGCTGTTCCTTTCATTACGGGAACTCCTGCGTATGCACACGTGTATTTTCCCAGATTCCAAATTAACAACCTGTTATTTCTTATAAAAATAATAAAGCAAGGAATGGGAGAAGAGCCTCTAGTAGTAGTACAAAAAGATACAGAAGTTGATAAGACACTAATCCAAAGTCATGCTTTTTGGGTTTTTCTCCTCCTTCAAGGGCTGCTTATGTAACAAAGGTTCATCACGAAAAGTGAAGTGACCGAAGCAGCTTAGCCTGCATGCAGGTGACTTGCTTGGGTCTTTCTCACATAGGGCAGACTAAATAGTTAGGACTTCATTCTTCTGTATAAGGTAGATACTATTCATTGTGGGTATTTTTAGTTCTTTAGACGTACTGCTTTAAAAGTCATCCCCCCTTATTATTTCCACTTACAGAAATAAATCCTAAGGAAATAAGAGGTGCAGAGAGATTTATAGAGATGTTTATTGCATTGCTATTTATACTAATGAAAAATAACCCAAGCGGCCAATATAGGGAAAAATTACATTATTGCCTATTTGTAAAATGCAACAATACACAGCCATGAAAAAGCACTTGAAATATAATGGCATGTGGGACAGACAAAAAACTGTACATGACAGAATGAGTGCCAACACGCTAAAAGTTGCATGTGTAGAATAAAGGAAAATGTTAGGTGTTAATCTCTGCAGGATGGAGCTTATTTTTTAAAACATACTTTTCTGTTCTTTTGTAACCCAAAAAGTTCAACATAGATTAATAAAAAACCCATACAAGGTAGAATTGAAGTTTTCCAAGAAGCCATAGTTGATAAGGAATGCTTCTGTCTGATTAAGTCAATGGAAACATAATGCACTTGTTCTCTAGTAATTAATCAATTTCCTTTCTAGAGCAATGTGAGATGATAGAAGCAACACCTCCTACACAAGCCTCCCAATTTTTGACTCTCATTGTAGCAGATGAAACAACAGATTTTCTGTTCTCAGTCCCCAAATTTGAGGGCAGGAAGCCAAATAATTCCTCCTGGAGTCAATTTTCTCATGATTCACCAATGTCAAGGTTTGAGAATCAGCACAACTGAGTGTAAGGTATTACAATCTGGCAAGGCATGTTGCCAAATATTTTCATTTTAAATACTGTGAAGAGAAGGGGCTGAATGTGAGTAAATCCAAGCGGACTTGATACTTTACAATGAATAGTGTATCAGTTAAGTCCAAGAATGTTATTTTAATGCACATATAGGGCCTCCCCGGTGGCGCAGCGGTTGAGCTCTGGGTTGCGAAGCTGCCCGCAGCCTCTGCAGTGCCGGTTCGATCCCCGGCTGCTCCCCGGCCACCGGAGGCGGGTCCCACATGGCGTGCAGACCTCTCCTGCCGCCCGCTGCTCCCCTCAGCAGTGTACTTCCGTCCTTCTGCCTGCTCTGCTCCCCGCTCTGGCTCTGGTGAATTATCTCACCCTTCCGTGCTTCTGACTGTACCCAGTGCTTGTATAAATAAATAAATAAATAAATAAATAAATAAATGCACATATAGGTCTATCAGAATGAAAGACTACCTGTATAGCCAGCATACCACATATACCTGTAACTCCAGCCAGGAAAGTAGGTGGGGGGGGGAGTATATACACACATACACACATGCTTCATATATACACACACATACACACACACACACACACACACACACACTTAGACACAGCATTTATCTTCTCAGTGATAAATTAGTAAGGCTATCTTTTGATTCAAAGAATAATACATTTCATGTGTAGTGACAAATTTAATTATACATGGAATTACACAACATAATAATGACCAAAGAAAAACATTATAAACCAGTTCAGCGATTAAAGCTAGTACCTTGAACGCATCTAAAGTGGCTATTTATAGGAATGATATCTTGAACATGCTGTTCTTTCTCGTGCAACTGGATTATTAACCTAGGAAACAGAAGAATGCATCAACGAATAGCTATTGAAAAACTCAACATTTAGCAACGAAGTACAATGCTATGTTGTCACACAAATCTAGTCTGTATTGATTAGATTTGCTGTATCTAGGTCTAGGTCTCTCGATCTGAGCATCATGACTGCTAGGTATTGCTCTAGGTCTACAGCATAGCAGTGGTGATCAGTATCTGAATACTGCACTGTTCTATGCTATAAAGAACATGTAACAGTCTATGACCTAAAAACACTTTACATTCTTAACTGTGTGAATTGCATATACATGCTCAGAGTATCTATACCAGAGTAAACTAATAGCTAGGTATGAAGTCCGTGAAAGCAGGGACTATGCTTTCTTTTCCCCCAGCATATCACTGCTATGATTTAGCACAGTGCCTGGCACATAGCAGTGACTCGTTTGTAGACTAAACAAATTAGAGAATTCTTAAATTGGTTTTCTGCTTATAGTCCAATAGCGTTTACCAAAAGAATCGATCTAGGGCCTCCCCTGGTGGCGCAGCGGTTCAGAGCTGGGTTGCGAGGCTGCCCTTGATCCCCAGCCACCGGCGAGGGTCCCAAAAAAAAAAAAAAAAAAAAAGAATCGATCTATCTCTTCAAACAAGTGTACAGATTCATGGATGAATAAGAGGTGCCCACCCAGTAAGATTGGTCAAAATAACTCCAGTGGCCAACAAGGTAGCAGATATTGCAACAATTCCTCATGTTTTTATTTAGCTTTTCAACTTCATGTTAGTATGTTTATGTAAACACGATTGAATTTGGCTCCTCCATAAAAAATTAAGACTCCTAAATCCCTAAGTACTCCTGCAATATTTTTATGTACTACTTATCCAGTGGCCCGGAATCAAGCTGAAACTTACTGGCAAAGGCCCCATTCTTAATGTTTCACTAGCTTCCCTCTCTTCAGGTTCTTTTTGCCAGAAACACTTCTTTTTTTGCTGAGACACAGTTCAAGTATCTTCTGTGTGAAGCTACCAGCTAAACCTGTTATCCAAATGGCCTCATCCTCCTTGCTTGTCCCTCTAATAGAGCAGGTATACGCTCCACTTATACACTTCATCAGATTTATTCAGCTGGCCCTTGAACAACGCAGGGCTTAAGGAGAACGACTCCCTTGCAGTTGCAAAAATTCGGTGATCATAGAGTCAGCTCTCCATATATACCACAGGTTCCGCATTCTCAGCTTCAACCAACAGACAGGCAAGGTTGCTCGAATACATGAATGCAGAATGTTGGGATTGAAAAAAAAAAATTCGGTCGGGTATTAATTGACCTTCCTCCCACTTCAAACCTGGTTGTGCGAGGGTCAACCGTATTTATGTGCTTCACTGAAATGAGCTCTTTGAAAATGAGGCCTCTATCATAGTTTTGTTTCCTACTAGATGCTCTACAAATATGGGTTGAATAAATGAACTGGCTAAATAAAATCTATAAACACAGATGAACTTTTAAATACAACTGTTCAACAGCTGGTTAAAATGCCATTGTTTTGAAGCATTTGATTTCTATTTTTTTTGTCTTTGGGGAGCTTGTTGTTTTAGCTTTTTTAATTCCCCCTGCCCCCCAATGTGATAACTTTGCAATAGACTAAGTATTAACACTTTCTGTGCTGATCTTACCTGCCTAATTTGCATGGGTTTGTATTTTAAGGTGACAAGAAGAATATGGAGCGAATCTGCAAAGTTCCTGAGTACAGCTAAAACTAGATAAAAGGCTGACAAAGCAAGGGTGAAGGAGGAAAAGCTGACTTGGAGCAAAATGGACATAAACCAATATAATCTCAAAGCCATATAAGACAAGAAATGGTGTGGAACATCAGCCGTAAAGTTTCAAGTGGACTGTACTGTTAAAAACCATCACAAAACAAATATAAACTGGGAATTTAAGTCATTCCACAAATATTTATTGAATATCTACTATGTGTTACTCAGTAAGTTGTAGCAAGAAAATAGGGCTAAGAATAAGTGTAAAATTCTACCTAAATGTAACCAGTCATTTCAGAACTGAAAGATGACAAATAATAGGTATAGGACCAAACAACAGAAATCAAAATTTGAGTTGTTCAACAGCAATGACAAATTGTGAATGCAGACTCAGCATTATCCCTAGGAAATACTTTGATTTTTCAAGGTTCAAGATGAAACCAGCATAATCTGTTATCCCTGGAAAAAAAAAATAATCTTAGTATTTGATCCCACTTCAAAAACGTCATTTTTAATTGTAATTTAGGTCTTTCAAGGAAATGCCTCCTATGGCAGATAACAGGGATTACAAAAGTAAAGATTAACTAGGTTTCAAATTCTAGGATTAAAAGGCCAAAAGTAAAAATGTTCTGGACACCTAAGTAAGAGAATGCACTCAAAAGACAAGAATTTGAGGATTATCAATGGTATTACAGTATTAGTTGTCTTTAATAAATGATGTCAGAAAAGCATCTTAGAGAATGTAATTCTGAGGTGCACCTGGGTTCAAATCTCAGCTATAATACTGCCTAACTGTGAACAATTGACAACCTCTCTGTGCAATTTCTGTATCTAGAAAGGGGGATCATGATGATATTACTATTTTATAGTAACTCTCACATGAGGGTTAAATGAAATAATTCATGAGAAGTGCTTGGAACAAGACCTGGACATAATGAAGTCACTAAGTGTGACTAAGCTGTTCGTATAAGTGATGACTTATACAGAATCAGGACACAAGAATCTGACTTCTCTGTGGGGTGAACAGTCAGGAGAGCTATCATTGCATGTTGAAAAGTTCTTCTACACTGATGTATTATTTGGTTCCCCTATATTCCTGCTATAAGTGAAACCATCCGTTATTTTTCTTTTTCCTTCTGGCTTATTTCACTGAGCATAATTCCATCTAGTTCCATCTACATTGCTGCAAATGGCATGAGTTTATATTTTTTGATTGCTGACACAACAATGCAAAAATGGACAATTATAAATCAGAGACATCCTGTAGGGGAGGAGACGGGAGAGGGATCAGCAGGAGGGAGGGAGAAGCACAGGGGATTGAGGTGATGGTGCACAGGTGCATTGGTGAAGGAAACTCTACGGGGACTACACCTGAGGGGGTGGGGGGAAGCAAATATTGTTTAAAAATGAACAATGATGTAAAAATATAAATAAATAAGTTCTTCTAATACAAGAGCCCAGATACAATCAGGCCTTTCTCTCAAAGCCAACTGTTCACTTCTTTATTACCTGAACAGAGTTCTAAGTTCACCTAACCAAGGGAGTGTGCTCATTTTTATTTAATCATAATTTTGTTTTTATAGAAGAAACCAAGGCACTGATTTACCCAAGGGTCACATCTCTCCACCCCATCCCAGCCTTATAAGGCAGTGGCAGTGGTAGTCCACTTTTCATTAATTTTTCTGTGGAAATTATTTTTCAAACTGGTGTTGCAGGATTTGATCAAATTTGGGTAAAATAACATGAATCACCCATAGGGACAGAACTGGCCAAGTAGGTTCTAGTCAAGGGCTACTTTATAAAACTATGTGATGTCCATTTAGAGTGGCACGAAGAACCTTAGACAAGGGGGCAGACAGGCCGGTGGGAATTTCCACCGCATAAATTAGACAGCCTAGACACAGAATCAGTTGAACAATCTAAATGAAGAGACTGGGAAAATTGTTTTTAGGTAGAATTCACGGTTGGGAGAGAGCAGGACTGAAGTGATCAACACCTTTTAAACTCTGATGTCAAGAAACCAGAGAACCAAAAGGAGGTGGCCTGGGCACACATGATAGAGGCCTAAGATATGTAATGGTTGCCATGGATACTCTGAGGCGGTTTTAGTGGCAAGAGAGTGCGATCAGCAGGTACAGTGATAGCTTATCAAAAACAATCTTTTGATCAATCACCCAACAGCATTTAATGAGGTCTCTGCAGGGTGGAATGGAAGGTAACAGGAACTGGTAAATTGCCAAATGTCTTTTATATTTCTAGATATTTCATTACTTTTTGTGTCAAGTCAATAAGTGAGGCAGTTACTGGCCTACACCAAACCATTACTTAATTAACGAATATGCCTTCAAGCAAGTGGAATAAAGGGGTGGGGAGACTGGAGGAACCAGTTGAATGGGGTTAAGAAAAGGCACTTTGGTAAGGTTAACAAAGAGGTGTTGCTGTAGCACTTTTACTTTTTGTAAACCACTTTTACATTTATTATTCTCCCAGTCACAACTCCAAAGGCCATAAGGTAAGGCAATTAATGTTTTTATTTAACTGATGAGGACACTAAGTCCCAGAAAGCTTTATTGACTTGCCCGATGGTTACACAATTCTTGTCAGTTGCAGGGGCAGGAACTAAGAACCCAGGCTTCCTGCTTCCCCACCCATTCAGTCCTTCCACTCAGCGACACTGCAGGCGCAAGCTTAGGGCTTGGAAGTTGGGGCAAAGCCCTGTGGCTAGAGAGCACTCGCACTTCGCACCTGGCCCTGAACCTGTTGCCCTCGCGGCCTCGCTGGGAGGAGAGTGGGTGCTCATCGCGGTTTGGGGTTGGGAGGTAACGGTAGGCTCCCCTCCAGTGTGGGAATCAGGTGGTTACTTACTCATATAGCCCGTTCCTTTGGCTAAGGTCAGGGTGCAGGGCTCCCGGTTAGGACCCTTCATCTCCATACCCTCGATAGTATGCGGGCGCAAGTCAAGGGTCTCCTCCAGAAGCGCGGCCAGCCAGGCGTGGGGCAGGCTGGCTGGAGGGGGTCGCCCACCCCTCTCCCTGCAGTCCTCCCGGGGGCCGGGGGCATCACCTTCTGCGCCAGGTCCCCTCCCCCGCTCAGCTCGGCCTCCAGGGCTGGCCGCCCTCCCGCTCCCCCGCCGCCGCGTTCCGCAGTTCCCCCGACCCGCACCCCCAGCTCTGCGCTGCCCCCCTCCCCCTTTTCTCAGGCGGATACGGCCAGGGGCTGGGCTCCGACGGGAGCGGCGGCTCCATCCGGGCGGCCTCCGGGCTCGGCGGGGCTGTGGACTGCGGGTGGATCCGACGACACGGCCTCCCGCGTCCCAACACCCACCCACCAGCCTTGGCGGCGAGTCGTTCGCGAAACGGCTCCGCGCCAGGCGCCGGGAGCCGGGAGCCGGGAGCCGAGCCTGACCCGAGAGAGAGCGGCGCCTCGCGCCCCCACCAGTTTTCCAGGCCGCCGCAGATTCCGCCCCCTGCGGCCAACCTGCCGAAGTGCAAGTAGGGACCCGACGGGCTGGAAGCGCCTCTACCACGTCCAGCCAAGAATATGCTTTAGATACTGCCTGTGACACCAGAATTGTTCTGCGGGCTTTGAAGGTTGCCACAGAAACAAAACATGGTCCTGGCGGAACTCAAAAGTGTTGAGTCAGTAGGACCCACATCGTCCTGTCCAAGAATACTTCTTACAGCTATAACGCGCCGCACCGTGCTGGGTAGCCCACCTCTCAGATGTTCTCCCTTCTCCCTTCTTTCTTCCACCCCCTAAGTCCGAAAAACTCCCACGTCTCAGACCTTTGATCCCCTTTTCGTCCCCTCAAGGTCACCTCTAAACAGTAACGACCAAATGTAGATCGCTGACCCGGGCCCCTTATCTAATATGCCCCATTGTCAACACAAGACTGAATGACAAAACAAACTCGCTCATTTCACATGGCCACTAGGACTTGAAAGTTCTCAACAAACCTTGTGAATATTTTCTTTGGAATCACTTTTAGATTCCTTGCTTTCTCCCCATTTGCACTGTCATCAATTTATTGTAAGTACTTGTGTTCTCTCCTTTAATCATTTTTTTCATTGATAATAATATTCTTCCCAGAGTAATGTTTTCATTGTGGTATTCATTTGCTCAAGAATCTATAGGGGACTAACTATCCACACTATATCTATATCTATACCTATATCTATATCTAACTAACTATTTTAAACCTGTAGTCATTAAGATAGTGTGGTATATTCCATTGGAGGTAGACCAATGCACTAGAATGCAGAGCTCGAAAACAGACACAAACATATATGGATGGTTTATATTCAGCATATGTGACATCTCAAATCAGTGGGGAGAGAATGGATTAGCCACTAAAGGGTGCTGGAACTAATGACCGTCCAGATGGAAAATTATAAAATTAGATCCCCTCCTCACGCCATAAAGGGAAAAATCAATTACAGATGGATTAAATGTGTAAATGTGAAAAGCAACACTTTTCAACTTCCAGAATAGGAGACTATCTCTATGACCATGCAATAAAAAATTTGAAAAACTACTAAAGCACAAACAATAAAGGAATTGACTGATACATTTAACTACATTAAATTTCAAAAATGCATGTACCTCAAGATGACATATGCTAAAAGACAAGGCACAGGCTGGGAGAAGAGGTTATCAATGCATATAACTTACAAAGGATAATCTGTGAGATTCTATATTTCCAGCTGTTATCATCTTTCTGACTTCTCCCACCACTACAACTCGACCTGTTCATACTATTCCTTGCTATTCTCAGAATTTACCAAACACACTCTTACCTCAGGGTTTTTGCACCTGCTGTTCATTCTGCCTGCACTTTCATCTCCTTCAGGATTTTGCTCAAATGTCACTGTCTCAGTGAGAACTTCTTTAGACTTTATTTAAAATTGCACTGCAACAATCTCTTTTCCTCCACCCATACACATGCTTCCTATCCCTCCTCTGTTTGTTTTTCTCCATAGGATATATCACTATCCATTATTCTATTTTACTTTATCAATCTTGTGTATAGTTTACCTTCCCTCACCAGAATACAAGTTCCACAAGGCAGGGATCTTTGTCTGTTTTGTTCATAGCTGCATCCCCAGTGCCTACAAACATTCCTGGAACAAACTAGGTGCTAGAAAATATTGCTTAAATGAATGAAATAGTTTCTAGAATGTGTAAGAACCCCTATGTAAGCCATCGAGGAAACGAAAGAAACCTAGTAGAAAAATTGTCAAAATACATGAATAAACAATTCATAGTCAAGAAAAAACAAATGACCAATAAAGACATGAAAGGATGCTTCATTTCATCACTCTTCAGGGAAACTGAAGATGAAAACCATGAGATACTAGTTCACAACCATTAACTTTGCAAATATTAAAAAAAAAAATTCAGATAACATTGAGTCAAGGATATAAAACAGAGAAAACGCTGATCCACTGCTAGGAGTGTAAGTCGTAGAACTGCTGTGAAGAGTAATTTCACATCATCTCGTTGAATATGTATTGCCCTTCAACCCAGAAAATTCCAATTCTAGCTATACACTTGGGCAAACTCTAACCTTTGTACACAAGAAGACATGTAAAAGAATGTTCATTGCAGCATTATTTGTAATCTCAAAAAATAACTGAACCAAATTAGAAGTCCATCAGCAAGTGAATAAATAAATCATGGTATTCATGGAATTGTATACTATTTTGAAATTAAAGTGAATAACTTGAGCTATATGTACTAACATAAATATCAAAAACACACTATTGAGTATAAAGAACAAATTGTAAAACATGTACAGTGGACTTTTTATATGAAGCCTGAAAATATTATCTGCTTATTGCTACATAGCTAGAACATAGAACAGATAATATATAATGTAAAAACATGATATAATATTTAATAATATATAAACATGAAAGGGCATGGTCATCACCAAATTCAAGGCAGGGAAATAATTGAGACAGGGACAGGCATGCAAGGAATGGCAACTATATTTGTAGTATTTATTTCTTTAAACACAATCTGAAAGTTGATGTTGCAAGATTTGATAGAACTAGGTGATGGGTACGTATATTTGTTACATTATTCCATGTGTTTCTTGCATTTGAAATTGTTTGCAGTGAGTGAACATTTAAAGCAAAGAATTAATGAGGGTTGGCAGTGTCTGGTGCTAAAAATAGGACAAGGAAAATGAGGATTGACTTTCTTTGGATGTGTCAAGATGTTCGCTGGAAACTACTACATAAGTAGTTTCAATAAATGGTGAGGGGAGCTATAAAATTACAGGGAATTGAGAAGAGACTGTCGCCTGAGAAAATGGAGATGAGTGAGCATGTATTGAAGAAGTTTGGAAACAAAAAGGAACAAAATACAATTTTAATTAGTTAGACGGTCAAACAGAAATTGCTGACAAAACCCAAAGCCACTTTAAAGCAAAGGTGGTGCTAGTGAAGACATTTAGGAGGAGGCAGAAAGGTTGCAAGAAGCATCCCTCAGTAATTAAGAAGCACAAGGATCCAAGGTGGAGATGGAGAAATTGACCTTACAGAAGAGGTGAGATACTTCTTCCTCCAAATCGACAATCTCCCCAGCACCTAAATCAGTGCCGAGCATATTGTAGGGGGCTCAAATATTTTGGTTGAGTAGAAAATGGAAGTGTATTGAGGTAAGGACACTAAAAATTGTGGTCACAGTGGAGATGATGCTTTTCTTTTTTAAAAAATGGTAAGTAGAATCGTACTAGTAATGACAACAGTAATTGTGGAGGTTTACACTGAATGCCCGTGTGACACTCTCCTCATAGCTTTACATGCAAACTTTCACTTAATTCTCATGAAAGCCCTATGAAGTAGTATTATTATCTATACTTTAAAGATGAGAACATTGAGATTCAAAGGTTTGACAACTTGCCCATTAGCTAGTAAATGGCAGACTCAGGCTGCAAACGTACATGTGTCTGATTCCAAAGTCCGAGGCTTTTAATCAACACACTCTGCTGTGTATTCCATATTAATAGTAATAACAGACTTTATTCAGAACCTTCTATGTGCCAGCACTATGCTAACTGTTCTGCCTGAACTACAGCATTTAATCTGATGAAAATGAAGTTGAGAGTAAAGCATTTGGGTACTTGAATAAGGCAGAGAAGGAGGGGTATGGGCACTGTTTGAGAGTAATAGCAAATCCCGAGAAGTGAACAAAAGGTTTTAGGGTGATGAAGATAATGCAGCAGGAGGCAGAGTGCATACATTTCTACAGTGGTCCAAATCAGCACAAGTCTGTAAGTTTCTCTGGCAATGCTTGTCAAATAGGAAGCAGGAGTAGCGAAAATCTAGCAAGACGGTGCATTAGGCTTGGGAACTAATAGAGCAGGCAGAGCAGAGGCCATGTGGTGAGGGAATCAGCGGTGTTTAGGGTGCATTGAAATAGCTGACCCTGGAATCAAACTGGGTAAAGATACGTATCTCCTCATCCTAGGGCCAGCAGAGTGGATGAAAGCAAGTTTACGAATAGAATCATTTCACTAGGCTTGATCCTGTGGTAAATTGTCATATCTTCTTTTGGGGGAATCACTTCAGGAACTCTGCTTACTTATGTGCTTTTGTGTGTGTCAAGTAATTTTTGCAAGTTAGCTAAAATGATTATTTTATGCACAGTCGCCTTCTGACCTACCTTTGGTTGTTAATGATGTCACTGTTTAACTAGTCACCCAAGTTTGAAACTTCAGGTTTATCCAGGAACTCTTCTTGTTCACCTGTGACATCCAATAACTGAAGCTTTGTCAATTCCACAGAAACTTCCCTAATGTATAGTTCTGGCCATTCTCAGTCATCATTATCAGATGGCGTTTTGCCTGATTGAATAAAGGTCTTATGTTCCATATTCGCATTTGTATGTAGGAGACATCTGATGCAAACGGTTAAATGGTCATTGAACAAAATTCAAATAAAAGTCTAACTTCAAGAAAACACAAGTCTCACAACCTTCATCCCCCCATACAATTAAATGGCCACTGAGTGCTTAGTTCTGTTTACTATTTACTTAAAAACTTTTATTAAAATTAGTAATGTGGCAATTCGTTAGGCAGAGGATATTTTTGAATTAATTAAGTTTTAATTGGCGTAAGATTAGGATACCCCCATCATGTATTACCATCGTAGCACAATGCACTACCGCCAACTCATCCATAATCCACCACCATAGTCCATTGTGATTCCTTCCAGCTTTGTTTCACCCCTCCCCCACCTCCTCCCCTCCTGGGTGCTGCCATCCTGTAGTCAGCTTTCAAGGGTTAGTTTTTAAGCTCATCTTTATCTGACATTGCCTATCTCTTATCCATTAGATGACCATCAGTGTTTAGGACTTACAGGTTTTTAGAGAGAAAATACTAAAAGTAGATCTTAAAAAGAGACTATAAAATATTAAATGGTAAAGTGAAAAAAAACAATTTAATTAAATGGTTATACCTAAAACATATCAAGGTTGTTAATATTAAATTTAATATTTATTAATAAATCCATGGTCTTTGAAAGCAATTTTTAGTTTGGATCTTCATATTTCCCAAGACTTTCCAAATATGCCTAATGATTATGGAGAAATCACAGCCATTATAAATTAAATTAGTTATGCACAGACAAAATAATTTCAAGAATAAGATTACAAAAGCCCTTTCAAAAATTTATAGCAAAAATATAAATATTTAATGTGGAATGTGGATGCATTTTAATATGCTTAATATGATGCTGGCTGAAGTCTTCACAAATGAGAGAGTTGAGGGCTTGCAAAGGCAAAAACAGGCCTGCCTAACGCAGATGAGACTGGGAGGAAGATTTCGCATAGGTGAGTCAGCAGCCAAAGGCTGGAAGGCCGGCTGAGCAGAAGCATAAATGATTCATTGATTTTAATAAATCACCACTAGTTGAAAAGCCTGACTTTTCATAAACACAAATCCAACATAGATATTGCTTTCCACAAAGAACAGCACAAAAGAGAGCTCATTTTCATATACAGGTTTCTGTGTATAATTTTTATTCCTTACAGAATTTGGGGTGAGAAAGGCTCGTTAACTGTTGAGAGGCACAGCAGACAGGAGAAACTGGCCTCCTTTTGCTCAGGAAGCCATTCAGCCCCTCCTTGTCCCCTCTAAATCTCACCTTTCCTTTGCTACCTTATTCTACTCTGGCCAGTTTCTTCATTCCTTTTGTCCACCACTCCTATTTTGTTCTACTGGGCTGGGCTCTCCGGTGGCATGTCTGAAATTGCCCAGGCCTACTTTCCTCCTCCCATCAGAAACTGGGGATGCTTAGTTGAAAGAACATGGAGTCAGCCTGGCATTTAAGGCCCCAAGGATCTGTTCTGAACATGGATTTCCAGAGTTAGCTACCAAGACTACTCTTTACAAACTTTATGATATACCTGGCACTTCCCTTAGGAATTGAACACGAGCAGAGAGGTTAGTGGCGGATGGGTGTGCTCATGACTCATGTACCATTTAATCATCCAGCTAACTTGTCATCTTGATCTTGACCTTTATAGAGTGTTTATTTTTTTAAAAATGGTCATAAGCTGTTAAATATATATCCACAAAGAATCAAAGACATGCTGATGTTAAAAACATACTCTAATAATGAAAGAAATTCTACAAATCCTCAAGTGATCCTCATCAGACCCATAAGTTGCATTTTTCTGATCAAATTCTTAAATTCAGCACATAAAAATTTCTCTAGTAATTCAGAAGTCCTAAAAGTGAAAACAGTTACAGCTCAATTCTATATTTTGTTTACTGGGAATAGAAATTATTGACATCTGCAAAGTAAAATGGTCT